TGAAGTGTGGTGAGAGAAATGTCCTGTGGGCACAACGTTGCTGTCGCACTGCCCAGTGTGGCCAGTGGTCAGCTGTGAGCTGGAGGTCTGCGCCGTGGACTTCAGTGGGCACAGCGTGGTGGGGAGCAGGGGAGGGGAAGGAGGACGGCTCCCTGGCGTGGCTGTGAGTCCCTCTGCTCTGGGCAGTGGTCCTTGGTCCGTGGCAGCCCCCCACCCCCCCCCCCACCTCGTGCACACTCTGGGCCTAGCTCAGGGTGAGAGGGGCCCCGCCTTGATCTGGTAACGCCTTCCTTCCCAGCTGCTCAGATCCCCCCAAGCTGCCCATGTGGGCCCCCCTTCCACCTGGGCTGATTGGGTTGGGCACACCAAGGAGCTGGGTCCTCCTCCGGGGCTGGGCCCCCTGCAGAAGGGGCAGGATCCTGACATGGGGCTGGTGGACACTCCTCCCAGGGGAGTCCAGGCCGCAGACCGTGCAGCACAGCAGTGCTGGCCAGCCTCCTGGGGCCCAGTGGCACCTCTGACTTCAGCCCCTGAGGTTCTGGCCACCCTCAAGGGGCTCCATCCGTCCCTGAGTTCGCCCATCTGAAGGGAGGGGTCATCCAAACCTGCCTCCAGGGCCAGTCTAGTCAGACCAGGGACAGCCAATAGGAGGAGGGGGTTTGGAGGAACCATCCCTTCTCAGACCTCAACCCTGACTCCAAGGCCCCGAGAAACCCAGCACAGGTTCTCACAGCCAGCGGAGAGCCAGTCCCCAGGCAGGACACAGAGGCTGCCCCTGGCTGTCAGTCTGTGTCTGAGACAGGATGATGGGTGGGGGAGATGGGGTCTCGCCTTGGGCTGGAGGTGGGATGACACTTCTCAGTTGGCCAGCTTGGTGTGTGACCTCAGAGTGTCCATCAGGTGGAGTGTCCGTCAGGTGGGGTGTCCGTCAGGTGGGGTGTCCATCAGGTGGAGTGTCCATCAGGTGGAGTGTCCGTCAGGTGGGGTGTCCGTCAGGTGGGGTGTCCGTCAGGTGGAGTGTCCGCCAGGTGGGGTGTCCGTCAGGTGGAGTGTCCATCAGGTGG